AGAGAGTACCTCATAATTAAGAACTGTTGCTCTCAAGATGACAGTATCACAACCTCTCCTGCCTTGAGAAATACTGATCTCAAATTGTGAATTTCAAACCATGTTCCACAGAATGACTCATAAGCTATCATATGTGTGAGTTTGTATAGTGTGTGTGTGTGTGTGTATGTGTGTGTGTGTGTGTGTGTGTGTGTGTGTGTGTATCTGGGAAGTAAGAGGGGAGGGACTGCTTCCCTAGAATGTTTGACCAGAGCAGCTCCATTTTTACTGGTATTGTACACTAGATCTCTGAATAAGAAAGACATAGTTTAAAACAAGAGGAGAAATATAATTTTATTCATCAGAATCCCAGGGTGGCTTAGAAATCTCAGAAGAGGCAGTATGGCAGAGAAGCAGAAGCACATCTATGCATTTACAGATGTTGCCTAGCAGGTGGCACTGTCCCTGATAGTTAAAATCACTTCTTAAAACACTTCAAAATATTATTTCTGCAGCCGCGAAATCATTAGAGAGCTGAATGCCAGGGTGATATTTCACTGATATTACATAAAACATTGTCTGTCGGGATTGGGGGTTAAGCAGGAGGTTGCTGAAGACAGAGATGTGGTGGGGTAGAAATGGAAGACAGGTGACAGAAAAAAGGGACATGGCAGAAATAAGTTAGTATACAATGAAATCACCTTTTCCCCTACATCTTTAGAAAAATAAACTCACAAAAGGCTTGGCTATTGTATTAATTATCTAATTTGTATAACAAATCACTCCAAAACTAACTGCCTTAAAATAATAATAACCATTTATTATCTCTCACAGTTTCTCTGGATTAGGAATTTGTTAGTGGCATGGCTGGGTATAGCTGGCTCAGGGTTTCTCATGAAGCCGCAGTCAAATGACAGCTGCAGGTTCAGTCAGTCAGCTAGGGGTTTCAGTCACCTAAAGATCTGACTAGGATTGTAGTCACCTAATAGACAAGTAGGATTGTAGGATTCACTTCCAGAGTGGTTCATTCACTACATGGCTGTCAAGTTAACACTGGCTGTTGTAGCAGGCCTCAGTTGCTCTTCATGTGGGTGTCTCCTCAGAGCTTCTCCTGTGATCTCATGGATACTGGCTTCCGCCAGTGAGTGTGGGGAACGCTTCTGTGAGAGACCCCCCTAATGTGTGGGCCTCAACAGACGGTGAGCTTGAGCCCAAACACAGTTTCCTGCTGGAGGCAGTCGAGCTATGGGAAAGAAGGAACTAAGAAATGACTGATGTTGCAAAAGTTTCTACTTCTGACTGCAATGACGCTTGGGCAAGGGTCGTGTGGTTTTGTCAGACATTATGTCTCCACTAGGCCTCTGCATGACTTTTACGACTTTGTTTTTCAAGAAGTTTAACCTTATCCGCATGACTACCTTGAACCCTAGATAAATGACTTTATGGCTTAGCTTGTGACTCTTAGGTATTGTTATTTACAAAAGTTGTGTTTTGGTAAAAACAGATAAAGCATACCACCTGCCCACTTTTATGATCCTTGAATGTCATGCTTAAGATTGTTTTCGTGATCTTATATTTTGTAACTTTCCATTGTTGATTGTGTAAACACCTAAACATCTATGGTCTTAAGGTATATATTGAGACCCTGGACAAAAATAAATTCGCTGTTTAGGCATTGCCTTCTCAGTCCTCCAGAACCCAGGTTTTCTGTCTCTCTTTATTTCTGTGCACCCCCTCTTTCAGGTCGGGACCCTCTTGCTGGCCAAGACTCCCCGGTGGATCTTCCGTTGCCCAGAAAAGAGAACAATCCAAGAAACCAAGATGAAAGCTTCAATACCTTTACACCTTGCCTTGCAAAGCCTGTGTCATTACTTTACTACCATCACATTTTATTGCTCATACAGACTGGCTATGATTCAATCTCAGCAGGGACTACAAAACGGTGTGAATGTCAAGAGGCAAAGATTATTGGGAGCATCTTAGAGGCTGGCTACCACAGCCATAGTATTTTTTGTTTTTTTTGTTTGCGTATCTGTCTGTATGTTAGTAAAGTGAACGAATCCAGAAGCAGAAGTAGACACAGAGTAAATTCTTTTTATATACTGTTCAATTCAATTTTCTAATATTTTGTTGAGGCTATTTCAATATATTTTCATAAGAGTTATTGGTCTGTAGTTTTATTTTCTTATAACGTCTGTCTTATTTTGGTATTAGGATAATGCTGGCCTCACAGAATGAGTTAGGAAGTATTTCCTGTTCTTCTATCTTCTGAAAGAAGCTTGTAGATAATTGATATAATTTCTTCCTTAAATGTTTGGTAAAATTCACCAGTGAATCTATGGGTCCTGGTACTTTCTGTTTTGGAATGCTATTAATTATTGATCCATTTCTTTAATAGTTATATATCTACTCAGATTATCTATTTTCTCCTTTGTGAGTTTTGGCAGTGGTTATCGTTTTTAATTGAAATTCCTTTAAGGCATTTAGACCAGTTGACACATAACTTAAAGGCTATGTGTTCAATCAGAAACATACCTCAAATACAAGAGACAAGTGAGCTTGTGTGTTTTTCTGTTTGTCCAAATATCTATTATATTTTTTATCAATGTAATAGAGTTCAAATATAGCATGTCACAGCTACTTTATGGCTAGCATGTTGTTCACAAGTTGTTTATATTTGGGGGCCTACTGAGATTATTATCCATGGGTTCCATTATGTTTAAATTAGATGCTAAATGAATATCCTGCAAATCTCAAAATCTGTATAGACTGTTAGCTATTAGTAAAGTATTACTTCTGTTTACACAACTTCCCTATATACATTATCATCTATACTCCTTGGGACTGCTATTATCTCTTGGTACCACTAGCTTCCTATCCAATATTCACTCTTCCATTGTTTTATTAAAGCAACGCTAATTTTGTTGGAAGCAGCAAAGTCCTCAGCTAAAAAACATTTATCCTGAAGCTTTCTTTGCAACTACGAGTTCTAGCTAAAGCTTAGTAGGAGATGTTGGTAAAGCTCACTTTCATGATAGAGGCACAGTACCTTCTTCCTTGTCCCTTCTCGATTTATTTTACCTCCCTGGATGATAGACTTAAGAATGCTGATAGAATAGTCACCTTGCTATCTAAAAGAGAAATCAATTATGTTTTATTTATTTTTTCACCAAATAGGTATAGTGCACCTGCTACATAATATTAAAATATATGTAATAACATAATAAATATTATGTTAAAAATATAATTTCAACAAAAAAACTTGTCATGTTGTAGTAAGAATCTAGTAATCCTAAAATAAATATAGATTTAGCAAGTGATTATACCACTCTTGAAAATGCAATGAAATAGAAATAATTTACAAAGGTGGTATATCTTTAAAAGAGATGTATTTTCTTTGCTATTATAATGAGTCAGTAGGAAACATTTTAAAGAAATGAATTCACTGCTTGAGGTATGGCAATATAAACAAAAATAAAAAGTGTGATATGTAGTTTAGAACACTAATTTCTAAAATACATCCTGTAAAATACAGCTTCTTGGGATGAAATTACCTCAAAAAGCTTTCTGTTGTGAAATAACTTTGGGAAACCACTGGATTAGACAAAATTAAGTAGGTTTGCATACACTAAGATTTCTCGGTGTTAACATGCTCATATATACTGTACATCTCTCTGAGTAGCAGTGCGACATGTAGTTTTTTCTAAATGTATTGACCAGAGAAACCTGTAGATCATCATCTCCTAGAATTAGATACAGGACACATTTTGGAAAATGTTAAGCATTTGTGAGCAGACACTTTACCAGGAGCTCTGGATGGACAATGAACTTCAAGACAGGAACACTCATCAAATTTATCATGACAATGAATGATTCTGATAATGAATCGGATGTTCAGCAAGAGTATAGCACTACTCATTAAGATCATAAGGGTTCGTGCAGAATAGCTTACTGAAATAAAAATCTGCTACCTTGAATCAAGTATGTATGTGGATTGCCCAGCCAAGAATGTTTATACTTTAAAGAGAAATGTTTCAGCTCATGCAATGGCTCCAGCAGTCTGCCTGGGTGCTTGGCAGTTCATCTGCAACCTAGCACAGACCCATATTTTTTTTTTTTTTAGTTTTACTATTACAGTAATTCTTCATGTATTTTTTAAAACTCCAGTTAAAATAAAGTTGAAAATATATACTTTAAAAGAAATTTTCTGAAAAACAGATAACATTAAAATTATATCAAGACTTTGGAAAGGTAACATGCATTAGAGAATACAAGATTTAGACTCTAACCTGAAGAAGCAAATCATTTGAATACCAAATGATAGGATTTGTTCAGACATACTGTTATCATGGTAAGGTAAATAAAAGACTCCTACTAGATTTATCCCCTTCTAAAAATATTTCCTAACAGACAAGTTGGATATTCTTCTCAAGATTAACGGCTTTTAAAAGTTGTTTTATTACATATCTCCAATGTTCTCTCTCTCTCTCTCTCTCTCTCTTTCTCTCTCTCTCTCTCTCTCACACACACACACACACACACACACGGTGCCAAATTTTTGAACTTTCTCTTTTGAAGTCCAAAAGAGTCTTCATACTAAATAAATATTTAAAAGGTACAATTTCACCAACCACAGAAGGATGTATGAAGACTGGTCTTCTGAATTCAGAGTTTCCCCAGGACAAGTGAGTCCAAAGGAGATTAAATGAATTTCCCTATTCATAGCAGTAACAAACTTCCTACCTCCTTTATTCTCGCCAGCAAAAAGCCTCCCCTATCCATTGACCTGGCGGCTGTTCCAGGTGGACCGCTTAGACTCTTAGGAGGGGCCCAGAGGGCAAGTCTGGCCTGGGAGTGTGAGTAGTAAAAGTTTCTTCTAACAAAGCTATGGGACCCTAAGAAAGGAGGCTCCTTATTCCCCTGTGCCGATCTTTGTGAGTCTTCCAATTGCCCTGGGATGGTGAACGTGACAATAATCTTAACTCCCAAGTCATCAGAAGCAGGACCTCTTAATCACTCACCGCTGCGCCGTGGACCGCTGGGAACCGAGGCTGGTTGCTAACGACGCTATGGGAGTCGCTCTGAGAGACAGAGTGCTCTTTTACAGTCTCGTGACCGGGGCTTAGCCAATCAGGATTTATAAGTGAATTTCCACCTGCCCATACCCGTCTCCACCACATTTGTGTTCAATTTCGGAAGAATAAATGCAATGTTGTGTGAAAAACCTTTATACGTTTTAAAAGAACATAGTAATGATTTGTTTTAAATATTGTACATACTTGCATATCCTGCCAGAAGCCGCGGCAAGAAGTGGCTTGACAGGGCTTAAACGTCTCCTCAATGTCTTAATGCCACTCCCCGAAAACAAATCAGCATGCTTGTCATACCAAAAGTAGCTATGACTTTGAATCAAATTGCTGTTCGTAAGCTCTTTTTACATAGAAAGTTTGGAGCAGCCGGTGTCTTTGGCACCCGTCAGTGAGTAAACAAAGCATCTAGAATGCTCTGCCATATACTAACCACCAGAGGGCGAATTTAAACACAAAAGAATGCCTATTTTTAAAGGTACTGTGCAACAGAATTATCTAATATGAGACCTTTAAAAACCCTTGTAGAATTCCTATGTCTACTAACGAGCAACATATTTTACTAATGTTCACCAGTGTAAAACACTATATGGAATAACGGGGAAGAGCATTCATGATCAAATTCAAACGTAGGCCATGTGCAGTGGCTCACGCCTGTAATCTCAGCACTTTGGGAGGTGGAGGTGGGCAGATCACGAGGTCAGGAGTTCGAAACCAGCCTGGCTAACATGGTGAAACCCCCCTCTCTACTAAAAATACAAAAATTAGCCAGGTACGAAGGCACACGCCTGTAATCTCCGCTGCTCAGGAGGTTAAGGCAGGAGAATTGCTTGAACTCAGGAGGCGGAGTTTGCAGTGAGCCAAGATCATGCCACTGTACCCCAGCCTGGGCGACAGAGTGAGACTCTGTCTCAAAAAAAAAAAAAAAAATTCAAATGTAATGTACAAGGATTGTCCTGCAAAATGAACTGCCTTAAAAAATTAGAACTTCGAAAAAAAATTTAACTTGAAATACCTCTACTGTATACCACATTGTTTCTGTTTATAAAAACTACCAAATAAATCTTTTTTGTTGTTTGTTTTTTGATTGCATTTTTATATTTCAAACAGAATTTACAATATTTGATCCCAGGCTTCTCTGAAACATATGACTCCTAGAAGATCTGTAAGTTAAAGATAATAAGAAAAAGTGAAATTGACAAAGGCTATAAACTATATATCTTAGAGAAAAAAATCCTAGAATATCAAAAGCACTTGCCATAATCCAGATAAAATGAACATGAAAAGACTTTGGTATTTAATAATGGCCTGGTGGCTTGCTTGTTTTAATTTCAAGAGATCTAGTAAAGTGTTAAAAGCACAAAAAATACAAACTGTTAACCAGGCTATTGATCATAAGATGAAGATTGAATTAAAAAGGCATAAAAGGAAGGCCAAATAAAAAATTCTTCTCCATAATATATAAATCAATTGAAACTGTAGTGCACTTAGAGAAAAAAGTCACCCCCAGAGATTCTACAGTAAAGTCAACAGGAGATGCTTATAAAAGGAAGAATACACAAATATATATATATATATATATATATATATATATATATAAGATGGATAATATATATATACTGAACTTTTGACGTATTGAATATATATAATATATTGGATATATTTTTTCAACTTTCTCTTTTGAAGTCCAAAAGAGTCTTCATACTAAATAAATAAATAAATAAAAATTTAAAAGATAAAATTTCACCAACCACAGGACGTATAAAGACTGTTCTTCTGAATTTGAGATTTTGAATTTTTAGCAAATAAGATCAAGATGAAAATTGCAATAACCGTACCCTGAGCAATGACAGCAGCACCCTTCCAGATTTTCCTGCCAAAAGACAGTTGTAGTACCTCCTACTTCTTGGTCCTCTACAACAGCATTTTTTTTTTCCTGTCAATTTCAATCCTGGTCTTCCAGCCTTCTATCAATTCTATAAACCCTGATTATTCTGTCAATAAATCTCCTGTTTAAAGTAACATATGGCGGTAAGTGAGTCCATATGAGTTTCCTTATTCATAGGAATAAGAAAGTTCCCACCTTCTTTATCTTCCCCAGGAAAATGCTTCCCTATCAAATGACCTGGTGGCTGTTCCAGGGTGGATTGCTTGGGAGGGGCCCAAGAGTCTAAGTCTATATATATATATAGTATCCATATGCATATATATATATATACTATATAGTATATATGTATCTTCTAGTATATAGTATATATATAGTATCTATATGTATATATACAGTATACGTATATGTATATAGTATTTATATGTATATAGATACTATATGGTATATATATATATGTATATACTGTGTGTGTGTGTGTGTGTGTGTATATATATATATATATATATAAAACCATCTGAGTATGAAGACTCTTTTGTACTTCAAAAGAGAAAGTTCAAAAACATATATCCAACATATTATATATATATTCAATACATCAAAAGTTCAAAATATATATTATGCATATAATATATATATTTGTGAATTCTTCCTTATATAAATATCTTGTTTATATAAGGAGATGTTCCTTATATAAATATCTCCTGTTTATATAAGATTTTTATTTTTTAGCAAATAAGATCAAAACGAAAATAGCAATAACTGTGCCCTGGGCAATGATAGTAGCACCTGTACAGATTTTCCTGCCAAAAGACAGTTGTGGTACCTCCTACTTCACAGTCCTCCAGAACAGCATTTTTTTTTCCTGTCCATTTCAATCCTAGTCTTCCAGACTTCTATCAATTCTATAAACTGATTATCCTGTCAATAAATCTCCTGTTTAAAGTAACAAATTGAGTTTCTGTTATCTTCAACCAAAGTGACACATTCATCTTGGAAAATAACTCATTCTAGAAGCCTTCCAACACAATAATTTTTGTCTCTTTCAGGGTAACTCAGAAGGCATCCTTCTAAGGATAAGTGCTATATAAGAGCGCTCAGAATGCTAAGGAAACCTTCTAAAGATAAGCACGTATAGCACTTATCAAAATTTTACCTAGAAAGATCTACATAGTGAGGGCTCACTAAAAAGTTAGGAAAGAGATGAAACTATTAGTAAGTTAAGCAATTTAAAATAAGAATTATATTTTCTTTAATCATTTTTCTCAAACCATAAGCTTCAGTCTTCCAGCTGCTTGGAATCAAGGCTATTAGGATCTTTACTGCCATGATTCAAATGTCCATAATGCTCAATTAGCTTCCTAGATCAGAATTGATTTTCCAGGGAAAATCAGTTTTTTTCCAGGGAAAACAAACTGACATCAAAAGTGAATCACAGGGAAAAAATATAGCCATGAAAAAATATTTATCAGCTTGAACTGCTGCATTAGAATTAACAATGATTTTGATTTTTATTTAACAACTTTCTAGATGACAATTTCTTACTATTTTTGATATTCTGTGATATCAGTTTAGGTTTGCCAAGGAATGTATAACTTAATTGTAAATAATTTCCATTCAATACTGTATTAGTTCATTTTCACACTTCTAATAAACACATATCCAAAACTTGGAAAAACAGGTTTAATTGGACTTAGAGTTCCACCTGGCTGGGGAGTCCTCAGAATCATGGCAGGAGGTGAAAGGTACTTCTTACATGGTGGCAGCAAGAGAAAAATGATGAGGAAGCAAAAGCAGAAACCCATGAGAAACCCATTAGATCTTATGAGATTTATTCACCGACACACTAGCACAGGAAAGACCAGTCCCCAAGATTCAATTACTCCCCCTGGGTTCCTCCCATAACACATAGGAATTCTGGGACATACAATTCAAATTTAGATTTGCGTGGGGACACAGCCAAGCCAGATCATTCTGCCCCTGACCCCTCCAAATCTCATGTCTTCATATTTAAAATCCAATCATGCCTTCCTAACAGTACCCCAAAGTCTTAACTCATTTCAGTATTAACCAAAAGTCCACAGTTCAAAGTCTCATCTGAGACAAGGTAAGTCCTTTATGCCTATGAGCATGTAAAATCAAAATCAAGCTGGTCACTTCCTAGATACAAAGGGGGTACAGTTACTGGGTAAATATACAGCCCTTACAAATAAGAGAAATTGACCAAAACAAGGGGGTTACAGGGCCCATGCAAGTCTGAAATCCAGTGAGACAGTCAAATTTTAAAACTCCAAAATGATCTCCTTTGATTCTGGATCTCTCTTCCAAGTCATGGTCTTGGGCAGCTCCACCCCTGTGGCTGTGCAGGATACAGCCTCCCTCTTGGCTGCTTCTGCAGCCTGGCATTGAGTGTCTGCAGTTTTTCCAGGTGCACAGTGCAAGCCATTGGTGCACTTACCATTCTGGGGTCTAGAGGATGGTGGCCCTCTTCTCACAGCTCCACTAGGCAGTACCCCAGTAGGGACTCTGTGTGGGGGCTCCTGCCCCACATTTCCCTTTCACACTGCCCTAGTAGGGGTTCTCCATGAGGGCCCCACCCCTGAAGCAAACATTTGCCTGGGCATCCAGGTGTTTCCATACATCTTCTGAAATCTAGGCAGAGGTTGCCAAACCTCAATTCTTGACTTCTGTGCCCTGCAGGCTCAACACCATGTGGAAGCTGCTAAGGCTTAAGGCTTCCAACCTCTGAAGTCACAGCCCAAACTCTGTGTTGGCCCCTTTTAGCCATGGCTGGAGCAGCTGGGACACAGGACACCAAGTCCCTAGACTGCACACAACACAGGGACCCTGGGCCCAGCCCACAAAACTACTTTTTGCTCCTGGACCTCTAGGCCTATGATGGGAGGAGCTGCCGTGAAAATCTCCAACATGGACTCTCTGAGACATTTCCCCATGGTCTTGGGAATTAACATTAGGCTCCTTGTTACTTATGCAAATTTCTGCAGCCAGCTTAAATTTCTCCTCAAAATATGGGTTTTTCTTTTCTACTGCATTATCAGGCTGCAAATTCTCTGAACTTTCATGCTGTTCCCCTTTTAAAATTGAATGATTTAATAGCACCAAAGTCACCTTTTGAATGCTTTGCTGCTTAGAAATTTCTTCCACCAGATACCCTAAACTATCTCTCTCAAGTTCAAATTTCCACAAATCTCTAAGGCAAAGGCACAATGCCACTAGTCTCTTTGCTGAAACATAACAAGAGTCACCTTTGCCCCAGTTCCCAACAAGTTCCTCATCTCCATCTGAGACCACCTCAGCCTGGACCTTATTGTTCACATCACTACCAGCATTTTTGTCAAAGCCAGTGACAGTGTCTCCCACATTTTCCTGTCTTCTACTGAGCCCTCCAAACTGTTCCAACCTCTGCCTGTTACCCAGTTCCAAAGTTGCTTCCACATTTTGGGGTATCTTTTCAGCAACAGCCCACTCCACTGGTACCAACTTACTGTATTGGCTCATTTTCACCCTACTGATAAAGATATTCCCAAAACTGGGACCAAAAAGAGGTTTAC